GCACTGTTCAACATCTTCATCAGCGACTTGGACGAGGGGGTAAAAAGCACTCTGTTCAAATTCGCAGATGACACTAAGATGTGGGGGGAAGTGGGCACACCAGAAGGGAGGAGTAGGCTGCAATCAGACCTAAGCAGGTTACAGGGGTGGGTGGATGAGAACAGGATGGGTTTCAACACTGACAAGTGCAAGGTGCTGCACCTGGGGAGGAAAAACCAGCAGCATACCTACAGGCTGGGGAACTCCCTTCTTGTCAGTGCAGAGGCAGAAAAGGATCTTGGGGTCATTACTGATGCCAAAATGAACATGGGCTGACAGTGTGGGGACGCAGTCAGGAAGGCCAACCACACCTTGTCATGCATCCACAGATGCATCTCAAGCAGGTCCAAGGAGGTGATCCTCCCCCTCTATGCAACACTGGTCAGGCTGCAGGTGGAGTACTGCATCCAGTTCTGGGTGCTGCACTTCAGGAGGGATGTGGACAACATAGAGAGGGTTCAGAGGAGGGCCACCCGCATGATCAGGGGTCAGCAGGGCAGGCCCTACGAGGAGAGGCTAAGGGACCTGACCCTGTTCAGCCTCCACAAGAGAAGGCTGAGGGGGGGGATCTAGTGGCCATTTACAAACTAGTCAGAGGGGACCAGCAGGCATTGGGGGAGTCCCTGTTCCCCCGAGCACTAACAGGAGTGACAAGAAATAACCGTCACAAGCTGGCAGAGGGTAGATTCAGGCTAGACATCAGGAGGTGCTATTTCACAGTCAGGGCGGCTAGGATCTGGAACCAACTTCCAAGGGAAGTGATGCTGGCTCCTACCCTGGGAGTCTTTAAGAGGAGGCTAGATGAACACCTTGCCAGGGTGGTATGACCCCAGTACTCTTCCCTGCCATGGCAGGGGGTTGGACTTGAAGATCTGCTCAGGTCCCTTCCAACCCTACAAATTATGAAACTGACACTAAGATCTGTGGGGAAGTATGGTAATAAAATGCATTTTGTTTAGAAATGAGAATTAAGTGCGTCTGTACAGTAACATTAAAAAGCAGTGACAAACCATGTTTATGCAGCACTTTAAAAAAGTTAAACGCTTAGAAAATTCATCTTCACAAGCCTGAGTGAAGTAGTTGAGCATAAGTTATCCACCTCACTTAAAGATGGGGAAAATGAACTAAATGTCAGGCAACCTCTCCCAATTGTTATAAGCAAGTTGTTTTTGGCGCTCTCAGCAACTTTTCCTCGCATAACACGAGATGGGTTAGTAAAAATGTTTACTTGACAGCTTAGGTTGTAGTTGCATGTACTGCTTCTTCAATACTCTGAAGACTTTTTTTTTTTACACTATTAGATTAAAAAAATACAATGGCAAAATTTACACATTAATATGAGGTTTGTGCCTTCCATATTCATGTATATTATTATAGAAAGAAATAAGATGTGACATCTTATTTCACAGATTCTCAAATTGTGTATCCAAACATCCCTAAAGAGTTCTAATTTTAGTGCAAATATCTTTTAAACTGTATCAAAGTTCTGATAAAATTATTTCCAACAGGTACTGGATGATGAATCCCCAGAGATGTTTAAAACAGTTTCTCAAGAATCTCTTATACCAGGTAAACTGGAAATTAATTTTGAGGAGTTACTGAGACAAAAAATGGAAGAAGAAAAGAGACGCACAGAAGAAGAACGCAAGCAAAAACTGGAAATGGAGAAGCAAGAATTTGAGCAGCTTAGAAAAGAAATGGGAGAGGTTTGTATTGTGCAAAATAACTAAATAAAAGTCATGTTGAGTTACCTCTGCAACAGATAATGGCTTAACTGGTTATGTTAATATACTGCTTAAAATTATAAACTAAAAAGGTAAGGTATTAGGATTTAGAGCAATTGGTACTTAATTTAAATAGCCTTGCTTTTAAAATAGGAAGGGGAAACTGGAAAAAAAGAACGAATACTACTTATAATTTCCGCCCCCCCTCACATTTTGAAATTTATTTATCAATATGCTTCACCATCCCCAGGTGAGAAATCCAGAACCTTGAGACTTGTGGGCCTATCTAGAGTCTCAGCAGCTTCTGCAAGCTTCACAGCATCCTTTATTAAGAAGCTGTTTTGTAACATTACAGCTAAACTTTTGAAAACCACAACTTTGCTATGAGTAAATCAAGAGCAACTTTTCACCCTTCCAGTGTTGATTTTATTTTGATTTTTCAATTATATTATTTTTTTGTAAAGTCCTAGCTCTTAAATTACAACCCTTTTATTAAAGTCGCAATATCCTTGTAAAGTTTCTTCTCCACACGATGGCTCAGGAAAACTCATGGTTTGAAACCTAAATGCTAAGAAACCAGAAGGAAAATGTGCTTTTATGAGGTTGAAGGAATTTGCATTATTTTGCATTTCTCACTTATGTTGTGTGATGTTGCCTGTGGGTCAGATACCGTAATAAAGTTTTTACATGCTTCAGGGTGGCAATCATATTCAGAAGCGAGCAGATACAAAGGTTACAGAGTTCATATTTAGAAGACCCAAGGGGAGTAATAAGTCCAGATAGAAAGTTCAATTTTGGCTTGGAATCTTATGTTGGAGAAACACCAAGATAAGTATTCCAAGGTCAGAATGAGAAGTGATACAAAAATTGTAAAATAAGGGCAATGATTTAGTTGTGCAGTCCTAAATTGTTTCAAGGAATTACTGCCAATATGTGTATTTTCACTGGAAACCTGGAGGGGTAAATGATTCCATAATTTTCTTTTTATTATGCATTAGATTTTGCAACTTACCTTTTTTAGAAAAGGGATAGAAAAAACAAAGCATCTAAAGCATAAGTCCCATTTTTAAAGCAGATTTCTTTAGGAAAGTACTTTTTAAATGACATCTTGCATTAATCAGCATTATTCTTGATAAGAGATTGGATGCTAAGTTACCAGTTATGTGTGGTATTACTACTAAAAGTTCTTACTCATTGATTGGTTCACTGGACCATAAGAAATATACTTGTGGTTTCAGTCCCAGTCCTAGTGTGCAGGAACACAAAAGAATTGAGAAAAGGCTCTTGTACTGACAAATTTAATTCACTCTATCTTTTGATGGACTGGTTTCATTAGATTTAAGGAAAGTTTCATTCTTCATTACATTAAGTATAAAGCACCCCTCAAAAAGGAAATAAAGTTTAATGGTCAGTGTTGTTTGCTGTTTTTCAATTGACTGGGTTTTTTTTAAGGTCTTAAGCATGATATAATTTCTTAACAGGAAGAGGAAGAAACAGAAATCTTTGAGCTAAGCAGGGAATATGAAGAACTAATAAAATTAAAGAGAAGTGGCTCTATCCAGGCAAAGAACTTAAAAAGCAAGTTTGAAAAGATTGGACAGTTATCTGAAGAAGAAATACAGAGAAAAATTGAAGAAGAGCGGGCTAGAAGAAGAGCAGTGGACCAGGAAATTAGAGACAGGGAAGCGGAGAAATTTCAAGAGGTAAATTACAGCCAGTATAGACAAGTGCTAATATGTTGTCATAGGAGTTTAACTGCCAGGCTGTAACAACCTAACTAATATCTTCCATTCTCAATTAAGTTGCATTAGAGAATTCATTCAGGGTATCTTATGACCTTAATGTGAACACTGTTCCCTCCCCTGTTTCCACAGTAATTCCCTCCAAGATGTTTTTTCTTGTAATAACTGTCCCAGGACATTCCTAGCCATTGCCAGAAACCACAACTCCATTCTCATCAGCTAGTCAGCAATAAGCATGGATTTGTGCTTAGGTCCACACATTTTATTCCTCCCCCTCTGCAAACTTGTTCAATAATAAGACTAGCAACCAAAATATCAAAACCATAACTGGTTTGCCATTGTGCCTCAACTGACAGATTTTAAGCTTTTCTTATGAAACTGGCTTGTTTCCTTACTATCCAAGTTAAGTAATGTTTAATGTTATACCTTTGGGGGAAGAGACTTCTTGGTGTACTCCAGAGACTTGTTCGTTTGCAAGGTTCCCTGCCTAGGTTGTCAAGGCTCCTGTGTGGGGGGCAGAACCAGGGAAGCTCAGTTGTACAGGAGCAGTTTTCTTTAATAGGTGGTTGAAGGAGACAGGCGAGGCCACTTTTTAACAAAGGGAAGAAATGGAGCTTCCAAGTCTAAAGACACTGAAAGAACAAACTGCATACTCTCCCCTTGCTCTGCATGATGTGGCAGCCCAACTTCCCTCTCTGCTCTGAAGAGGGAGGGGCCCCCGAAAACAAGGTACTTTACCTTCAGAGAGCAGGCAAGCAGAGATGGAAAAAGCAGAGTAGGGCACCAAAAGGATCCCCTTTCTCTTCTTTTCCTGTCAATCAAGAAGCTGGCACTGCTTATCACACAACATCTATCACCTGAGGAGGTGGTGCAACAGCATAGGAACCTGAAGCAGTTAACATAGGAAGTTTAAATGTCTGGGCTTGAGTCCTTCCCCACTAGCCACAGCACTGTATTGGTTCTATGCCACCTCAAAGTCCTTACAGGGTGCCATTGTACCCATTCTTTTAATCCAGGGCCGTACAACCGGCAGCCTGGGGGCTGAGGGCTTAACTTATAGCACCCCAGGCTCCCACTCAATAACTGGTCTCCCCATTGCTTAGGCTGCAGTAGCAGCAGAGGTCTCCATGCTCCCGTTCCTTCCTCTGCCTTCTGCTTCTCGTCTGTCACAAGGGCTGGGCTGGGCCGTGCAGTAGCACAGCATGCATTCCATGCAGTAGCACAGCCCCTTAAGTTTTGACGTGGAGGGTACTGGAATTCGTGTTTAGGTCTCAGAGTGTGCACTTGTATCTGGACATCTTTTATGCAAAGTTGTGGTATAAAAAACCTGGTCAACACCAGGCTAGTTTTAGGCTTTGTCGATGTTGCAATTTAGGACAGTTCACATTTAAGTTACATTTTTGAATAGCAAATGAAAAAAAAACAAAACAAAAAACACACAGTTATTTTGCTTTTGAACTATTCTACTTTCTCCAGTTAAATTTCCCTTTTCTTCTGTCCTCGTTTTCTCAGATGTTCTTTTTATAACCCTTTCTAAACAAGCTATTTTCTTGGTAGGTAACTTTGTGAACAGGTTTATTTTTTAAGGACTAGTTGACCACTAGCAGACATTTGTAACATCTAAAAAACCCATTCAAAAACCTCTGTCATTACAATCACATACTGCTTGGGGTAAACTTTCTTCAGTCTCAGAACAAGAGGGGAGAGAGATTCATATAGGAGAGTTGGCTAGGAATGAACTAAGTGTCCAGAATGGCTTCTGAAAAACAGAATTAAAACCAACTCATTTTTAACTAATGAAAAGCAAGAAGGGATTGGGATGGAAAAAAGCCATGCAAGTAGTACATGATTTCAGTGAGGGAGAGATGGTATTCTTTGAGGAAGATACCCATCTTGTACTTTTATCTCTGGTTAAAGAAGTATAGCCTGATGGGAGCAGGGAAAGCTACAGAAGTTAGGATCTCCTAAGGCTAGTCCTTCAAATACTTAATGGAGGTAACAGAGTCCCTACAACAGCTTTGTAAAACAAGCAGAATTTATTTAGAAATAGAAAAACACAGACAGGCACAAAGCACAGGAAGCATAAAAAAGGGATTTTGTTGGAGTTTTAAAAGCTTTACCTAGAAAAGAGGAGAGAAAAAGGGCATCTACTAAGACCCCCTACCTCCCCCCACAAAAAAAGTACTTAAAGGACATAGTTGTAACTTCTGTATCTATTTCTCTTACTTTGGTCTGAAAAAGATTTACTGTGCTATTTAGTGTAATATAAATTGAAGAGCCAGCTTCTGTGTGGCTTCAGAAGTAGACCTCAGACTGTTAACAGGGCGAAGTAAACATGTCTGCAACAGGCCAACTGGGCGTTTGTTTGCTTACCTTAGAAGCAATCTTTTTTGATCAAAAATAATTTTGACTCTCAGCATGTCCCCTATATATATGTTTGATTTGCTGGCATAAATGATTAAACACCACATGCATGTAACGGCCCTAATCCTCCAAGTCCCCTAACCAGAGCTAGGATCCAATGCACTGTAAAGACATGCCTCAGAGTCCCCACTCACATGAATTCTGTGATGATGAATACTTACTTGTACCACAGTTTGCTACTTGACACTGACCCTGGTAACACTATCCAGTCTCTGGCCTTATTTAAACCAGGGCTTTGTTTTTATTGTGCCCTGTTACAGGGGCATAGGTTGTAGCCATGTTGGTCTAAGGACAAAGAACCTTGTTTGCCTATTCTAATATTTTATTAGACCAACTGAAATAGTTGGACAAAAATTGTTATCAAGCTTTAAAAATCCTTAATCAGGCTGAGGAAGCACCCACTGCAGATGCTTCCTTAGCCTAACAAAGGGTTTTTAAACCCAAAAGCTTGCTAAGAAAAATTTTTCCAACTATTTGAGTTGGCCTAGTAAAAAAGATACCAGAATTACCCAAAGAACCTTGTCTGCCTTTGTTTTTATTGTGACACTTTTAAAATACACTTTGAAATACAAGTTACACCTCAGTGTAAAATCATACTGGATAAGACACGAGTCCTTACTACCTTTAAATAAACCTCAGGGAAGAAGGGGTATGAAAGGCTGAATTACCTATGTTAAGGTAAAAATAATTCTGTTTTGTGTTTATTTTTTTTTATAGTAAATTTTGATATACATTATTTAAATTAAAATCTAGTCAAGTTCTAAACTTTGCAATGCATTTCTAAATTTTCTTTTTGAAATAAAAAGGAAGACGAGGTAGATGTGAAACCAGCCAAGAAATCAGAGGCTCCATTTACTCATAAAGTAAACATGAAGGCTCGGTTTGAGAAAATGGCAAAAGCAAGGGAGGAAGAGGAACAGCGAAGAATCGAAGAACAAAAATTACTACGTATGCAGTTTGAACAAAAGGAAATAGATGCTGCATTACAGAAGGTATAGAGTAAAATTTGCTCTCCAAAGACATGTTCCCTCAAAGCCAAGGGCTTCTACTAGTGAAATCCATGTTTTAAGCAGCTTACTTGTCAGCACCAAGTGTCTGTACTCAGTCTGGCCTTTGGATTCTGCCTCAGTGGCCTAAAAGGGGATGGAAGGTCTAAGCAGCCTCCACTCCTCCAAATTCCTGCCTAGACATATGCATCAAAGGTCTGGGTGACCTCTCGCAAACCATGGTCCGGAAAGATAGACAGTTGCCGAACCAACCAAGCAGCTTACTACATTATTACCATTTGGTAGCATATTACTAACATTATCAAAGGGGTAGTGTAGTAGTGAGCTCTCATTAAATTTGCAGTACCCATCAAAATAAAAAGATGCAGTACAAATTTACAAATATTCCCATGGAATTAAAATGTTTAATACTACTACTACTACTGAGGAAGTGAGCAGTTTCCTTTGCATGTATAGCTGATTCTTAAGGAAAAGGAAAGCTATGCAACATACTTATAAATCTTCTTCATATTCCAAACTCACCCTCTACTTCAATGAAGCTCAATCTTCACAACCTTCCTGGGGGTGGGGCATCTATCCAGTACCCAGATTCTATGGTATTAATACATATTGCTTTATTATCCATAGAAAGATTGTACTTATGCTGCCACCTCCCTCTGCGGAAAATTCCGTTGCTATTTTTTTTTGCATTCCAGTGATCAAGTATGTACTAACATTAGACATCCCAATGGTTTAAAAAAAGGTTCTAAAATCAATTTATTTTTTAAATACAGAAGAGGGAGGAAGAAGAGGAGGAGGAGGGAAGTATTCTTAATGGTTCTACTTATGAAGATGAAGAGGACCAAGCACGGTCTGGAGCTCCCTGGTTCAAGAAACCGCTAAAAAATATATCAGTTGTTGACAGTGAGCCAGTAAGGTTCACTGTTAAAATTACTGGAGAGCCAAAGCCTGAAGTCACTTGGTGGTTTGAGGGGGAAATGTTACAGGACTCTGAGGACTATCAGTACATTGAAAGAGGAGACACGTACTGCCTTTATCTACCAGAAACTTTCCCAGAAGATGAAGGAGAATATATGTGTAAAGCAGTCAACAGCAGAGGCACATCAGCTAGCACCTGTATACTCACCATTGAAAGTAAGAGTTAATAATTTAAATCTACTTTGTTTTGCTTCCTTTCAGAGTTCCTAAGTACAACTCCTCTTGCATCTTTCCTGTTACAAATCTATTAATCTGTTTTTCTTAACCCTTTTTCTCTTCTAGCTGATGACTACTAATGCTCTACTTTTGCTGGAAATTTCCTTCCCCTCGGCTTTCTTACTACCGCATCATCTCTCTCTCTGTGGTGGGGCCAATTAAGGAAACAAGAAAGTGTTGTTTTGTCATTCCTGTATCAGAGGTGGATAGCCATCAAAATGCACAGGGTTCAGACTCATTTCAATGTGAAAGTTGGTACCAGACAATATAAATGAGGTTTTGATAGTAAAAGAATAAGTTACAGGAAAAAACTAAATTGCTTGTGTTCCCACATATGAAGACCAAGTATTCTGTAAGAATACTACAGCAAATTATACTGATCTGGAAGTTTCTGAAGTAGTATAAATGTGTCAATACATTCTGCATGTACACTAAGCTTTTAACTGCTTTTTGTCTCAAAAGGAATTAGTAGACAAAGAGAATGATCTTGGAAAAGCAATGTACTGTTTTTAAACAATGACAAATTATGCTATGGCTTAACTTCTACTTTAATTTTTTTTGCCTCCGAGTTTGCTTTAATACATATATACATTCAAAATGATGTGTTGCTTTTAAAGTGTGTAATCACTAATAATGTAAATACATCCATAGGATTGAGAAGTCTGTAAAACTACCAAAACTTATACAAAGTAACAAAAGAGTACCAATTACTCATGAAAATCATGCCAACATAATGGTGTACCAAAATTAAGTTTGTAGAGCAAGTTTTTGGATACACTCTGGTAATACTGTGGTTAGTTTTTCATCTTCATCTTTACCGGCTAGAATTTGTTCATTATTGCATCTCAGCTTATATGCTTGAAATCCTAAAATAAAAATGGAGTATGATAACAGAAATACATGCATTTAGTTTCCATGCTATATATTTATTTTAGTCTTTGGGGGGCTGACAAGACAGATGAATTCTTTTTTTGTATAAGGACTCCTAGTGCTGGAAAATTCAGGAGAAAATGGATACAAGTGCCAGTTTCAAAATAATAAAGACATCTTCAAATGGGCTTTTGTTCAGACTACATCCAGTTTTTATAGGAAAATGTTCTTAGTAGTAATTACAAGGATTTATTGCAAATCATGTCTTCTGGTTGTTGGTTCCATTTATATTTGTATCAACAGCATCTTTTATAACACTTTTTTGGCTCAACAATTACAGGGCAGAAGTGTCCCAAAGTCCTGTTTGTTTAGTGGTTGTGCGCCAGGATTCTGTGCATTAGAAGATAAATAAAACACATTCTGCCACCAACAGATTTTGGTTTATTTCATGTCAGCATTCATTGATTTTCTTGTGTTATTTAATACCAGGAAAGTGAACCCAACCATATATACTGTTTACCTGATATATGAAAATAGGGAAGAAAGGAGCAAAAAAGAGAGACAAACACCATTTGTACTATTAATCAGTTTACATTTATTGAGAAAGCCATAAACCATACAAAACCATTATACAATTAATGTGTACCTATATTACATACAATGCCAATGCAAGCTCAAAACCACATTTTGTAAAGCATTCAATTTACCTCAAGTCCAAGCTGCATCTCCCTAAGACACTGTTCCCATCACAGTTGCCTTTTAAAGCCAATCTTCTTTTTACACACGGGTAGTTTCTGTAGAGAACACTTTTCTCAGGACGAAAATGCATTTCACGTGCACATAAGAGAAATATTTGTGCATATACATATGAGCTGTATAGAGTATTACTAGGGAAAAGGGAACCCTGTCAACGGTGTGCTTTCTAGAATAGTCAGTTTCTTCCTAATCAATTTACAGCATGCAAGAGAAACCTAAAGGCTACTTTGTGTGGGACAGGATGGAAGTAAATGTTGGATAGTAGAAACTAAAATACTATAATAGAAAACCAAAGTATTTCAAGTAATAAAGGCTATTCAGTAAATAATACCACCTTCCTGACACTATAATACACTACATATAATGATTCGATAAATATTATCCTTCTAGCTGATATTTTATTTCACATCATTTCCTACAGTATAGTATAGACTGAAGAAAGTGATCTGAAAATACTTTTACGACTTCAAACATTAATGCTTCCCTACTTCCCCTTAAACTGGAAAAAAACTCTTCACTTTCTAAGCTCATTCATAGTTTTTAACAAAGAAATATTTATTTAAAAGTCCCATTTTGGAAAGTTCTAGTTTTCTAAAATAATTCTCAAAAACTCCCCTATCTGATCATATTCCAATTTATTTTCCGTCTTCTGGAAGTCTCAGTTTTGAGACTGAACTAACACCATTCAACAGTTACATGCCTGTAAGTCCAGCAGCTAAGTGAGCTGAAAAAAAAAAAACAAAAAACAAACAAACCACCTCAGACACTAAACTAAGGCAGGTTCATCTCATCTTTCATGCTCCAGCAGCTATCCAATAAAATGGCTTTTGTCTTTCCTCCTGCTTTTTATTTTTACTACAGTTTATGATCTTAGTAATTAAAAAAATATTGCAGTGAAATAAAATAGTAGCACGTTTAAAAGGAACTGAAAGAGAAGACCCACCCAACAATAAATTCTTGGATTTAAACTGGTACATACCTAGCTCTTCCCATGAAAAAAATAAAGTCTGAATTACATTATCAAAACTACATGTCAACCAAAATGAAGTGGCTTAAAGAGATTCAAGTACAAATATTAATTTAGTTCAGAAAGTCAATATATCTAAACTTGACCGTTTAGAATAATGTAAATCAAAATAGATGGCTTATATTATTAACCACAGTTTAAAAAACTTAACAGATTATGGAACATTTATGGTAAAGAAAATAGCACTTTAAAAGAATGAAAAGTGATCAAACAAAAAAAATAATCCCTACACCATTATGAATGGGATACATTTCAAATCTTGTTATTTTTTTTGCCAATGTTACCTTCTACATGGAGCCCTTCTATGGTCCATGCTCATCGGCTCACCAATGGCATACACTCAAAGGATTCCTCTTTAATGGTAGTAACTATCTCAGGACCTGATTCTATGAGCTATGATTTGGTGCTTGCAGCATCTTCAGCACTGTGTGTGAAAATGAAGGCAGTATTTTTGAATATTTTTCTTGAATGCACAGATAAGCAGGACTTTTGAAAAAGGATCAGTACATTTTAAAAACTGAATAATAAAACAAGTTCTGGTAAGATGCTGCTGTAGATATTTTTTTCAATTTAACTGAAAAAATTATACCAGACCATCTATGAAACACACTAAGCATATACAGCAATTCAGTTAAAGTATCAAGGAACAGAAAATGCTGATTGCTATATAGATCATTAAAAAAACCCAAAACCTAATTTGCCATACATTAGCATTTCATTGGTGCACATGCTTTCTATAAAGACATACTGTTCTGAAAAGCTGAAGTCTTAGTTTTTTGACCATATAGATGGATAAGAAAACTAGGTTATCTAAAAATTGCATGAATATTTTGTATACTTTTAAATTACCAGCATCAGTAGTAATAGAAATACAAAGTACCCTTTGTATTTAGTTCTTACAGACAGGGTGGGAATATAACCTATTTCTTTAAAAAAAACAAAATTTGTGAAGGCTGTTGAAATTTCTATTACTCTGCATAATGAAAAGGGTTTTGTTTCTTTAATTGTAACAATTGAACTGCTTGAATAAAAGTCATAAAAATGGCTATCCAGATCAAGTTGAATTACTGCAGCAATCCACTTATCTTTTCTAAAAGATGCATGTTTACCTAGAAATATAAACACTTGTTTAACAACTTAAGACTTCCCACTGAAATGGTACCATGAGTAACAATGCATTTGGGGAAAGCAGCAGATTGCTTTTGATACACAACCACAAAAATAAAGAAAAAGAAAAAAAAAAGAAAAAATCTCACAGGGACAACATTAATGTACTGAAATATTTATTTATATACTTCCTTAGGTTGTGCTTACCTGTTGCTTTTTGCAGCAGAACCTAAGGTGGAAGGTCTGGGAAGGCACTGTGAAGTATAAATAATTGCACTGTTTGCAATTAATAAAGATTTTATACCTTAAATGAATCAAAATCAACAGCCTCCATTTGTGAATGATAAAGAATCCAGTGAATTTAAATTTTGTTCAATTTAGTTCATAATAAATGCACCATTTCACTACAAGGTCATTATATGTAATATCATGCAAAAGACTTGAACTATTAAACTTCATATCCTACACTAAAGATAGCAAGCATCTTCCTGTTTCAAACTACTATTTTAATTCCTAATTTAAAAAGGGGTATAAGACAATTCCTTCTAGATTCTACAACACAATAAATACATTGCTAATTACCTGCATGATAAAACTACTCAATTTTCAAGCCTTAAAGTTTAACTTCTCTGCGCAGCCACCTTAAGATATTATTCTCAAAGCAACAAAATGGTGCTCCAAAAGATAAAGCAAATACATGTTTATAAAATGATTTAACATACCTACATCACTACACTTCTGCAAACTAACTGAGGACAAAACAACTTCTGTCTGACAAGCAGTTCCAAAAACTTTCATGTTAAGATATGCATATTTTCATACGCTGAATAATACAGCCTTCAACTCATAAACACTAGTGAAAAATACTACATTACTTAGATAAATACAAAAGTTTTCTTTAGCTATTGCTAGGTTTTTCAAGAATACTTACCCATAAAGCTCACATACATACATAAATATATATGCACACCTACGTTTCTGAATTAAGAAGCAGTTATGATTTCCTAAGATAGCAGCACTGTATTCCAACATAATATTTACACAGGTATGGCATTTGCATTATGTGGAACATTGACAAAAAGATACTGTTGCAGTTCATCAATTTGTCATTCTGATGTACTTACAGTGCAATGCTCCTTGAAGGAACAATCAAGGATGATACACAGCACAGTCCTCCTCACCCCTATAGAGCTAGTTCTATACTGGCTGGATCAAACCTGCACTTCAACAGACAATGGCAAGACAGACTGTATTGCATGAAGTCTAATATATGCAAAGAGCCAATAAATATGCAAAGAGCAAACAATGGATTTTAAAAGAATATCAGGTTTTTAGTATGAGTATTAGAGCAACAGAAACGTTTCAAGTATATTTAAAAAAACATTTGATTCAACAACTGGTGTTGAGCATTTAACAAAACAGAAATTATCTGTACTGCAGGAAGTTCTCAGCCAACCGCTCACCACCACTCAAACAAAAATACAGTGTTTCAATGACAGATGCAATTTTGGTAACTAAGAAGCATACTGCATTCACCTTTCTACACTACATTTTGAAATGAACTACTACAAACTGAATGCTTAACATTTTTACTTATAAAACTGTTTATACCTACTCTGAAAAATGCTTTAAAAAGTTATGCTGAAACAATCTTGAAATCAAGTATCAAATTAAGAACAGAGAGGTTAACTGTTATAGCCGCTGTACAGGTCTGAAACAGTGGTCAAGTATAAAAAAAGGAAGTTTCACTGTTAATGCAATGGACGTATGCCAAAAGATCTTCTTAAACACATGCAGTTTTTTAATCAAATAGAAAGAAAATGAAGATATCAAGATTACTGGTGCTAGACAGCAAGATACAGTAAAATGAAAAATCCTTCATCTACAACTATTCTGCAAGAGGGGAAAAACATGCCATTGACAAGTTTTTAAACTCAATTAAGATTGCATGGGGAAAAAAAAAAAGTCTCATTTGTGTACATGTACCTTAATTCAGCATTGCTAATAAATCCTAGAATTCTTCAAATACCCACATATCCAACTTACCGACACAGGAGGTTTCATATTATTTATTGTAAAGCACAAAACAGGCATTTTAAAAGTGATAAAGTATACATTGAAAAAGTACATTTATATCACAAAGCATTGACCACATAATAATTGCAAATACATTTGCTGGAATGTGTACATCTACACTAATACTAAAAACAAACCAATTTTCATTTCTACACAGAAATATTACCTCCTATCAGTAGTGATAGATATTTTGTACATTTTCAAAAACACTATTTTTAAACCAAACAAAAATTAAGATCTTCATCAAGGCGTCTGCATCCATACATTTAACAAAGGTTTTTTCCCCCACACAATGAAGCAAATACTGTATTGTCCACTTCTTATTATTGGCCCTGTGCAGAAGAGATACATAAGAGATATACAAAAAGTTAAAGAAAATCCTTTAAATTGAGCTAACTCAGGAGTGAAGCCTTTAAGAAAGAAAAGTTGGTTAATGTAAATGGTGGTGGCTTCTTGCATGGTTTTCAAAACCCTGGGAGGAGAAAGTTTTCTTTTTAATCAAAAACATTGAACGTATGGAGATACACAGAACTCAAGTTATCAGATATCGTCAAGTCATTTATACTAAATTATGCTGACAGTTATTTTGCTAGAAAAAAGGATGCATACTCCAAAGGCAACAAAGCAGGAGACATGCAAAATAAATATAAAAAATGAACAAAAACAAAAACAACCACAAAACCACCTCTAATTACTGAAATAGAAGCCAGCCAAAAATAAATTAAAAAACCTTTATACCTGTGGTGCTGGAGGATGCTGTGGCATTCCCTGTGGACTTGTCTGGGCATAATATGCTGCCTGTTGTCTGTAATATTCAGCCCATGCTGCACTGTAATCAGGCTGACCACCTGGTGGGGCCCCGGCTGGTGCTGGAACTGCCTGACCTAAAAGAAATTAAGATTACACATTTTTGTAACTGCAACAAAGACAACAGAAGCTCAAAATAATCTCATTTCTAACAAACATTACCTTGCTTCTTGTAATATTCCTCCCAAGCCTTTGAATAATCTTGTGGCTGCCCTTGTTGACCTGAAAAACCCCCCCACATTAATGTAACAATTCCCATGTAAGCCAAAATTAAAGACATATACAAAGGTAGAGCTCTCCTGCCATCTCAGCTGATGTCAGTTCCAAATAAAATCTAAAAATGGCACCCATGTAAATCACTTACACAATGCTATTCCTGCTCATACTAGAGATATAGCTTTAACTCTGCATCACTACCATTTTTGTTAGTATATTCCACATAAGATGAGAATCCCCAGACTTCCCCAATCTCATGATGCACATAATAAAGCAGTGTAATTTATCTTAATACACAGCAACCTAATTTAAAGAGATCAAAACTACTTACTATTTGAAAAAGAAAAGATCAGGCGTGCTCCTGACACCTGCCTTGCACCCCATCAATACAGAAGTAGACAACTTCTACTCATCACCATCCTCTTTTCCACAAAAGTAAACTGCAGGAGTCTGCACTTTGCTAGAACATTACAGGCAACACAAGAGCTGCAGGACTACAAAAGCTCTTTGCCAGCTGTCGTCATGGGATGACATAGCTGGCTGGGATAGTTTAGTCAAGGATCATTCTGCCTAGACCAGAGGGCTGGACTAGATGACCTTAGGAGGGCCCTTCTAGACTACTTTCCTATGATCCTACTATCAAAAGGAAACATGCCTACCAGCCAAAAGAAATATTTGCACACACAGGCAGTAATTAGGATGTACGAAAGAAGTGGAATAACTGCTGGCACCACAAATTTGCTGACTTGTCTAAATCAAACTCCATCTGGAATATTGAGATACCTGTCAATATGCTCAAGTAAACCGAAATCACAAAACTCGGTAAGAGGTAAGAGAAGAAAATAGAAAACTTGGGAGAAAGGCAGAAACCTCAGCTCATCCTAAAGCATCCTACTTAAAGCAAGCTGAACCCTGATTTCTTTCAGTATACAATACTCATAAATCCATGGCCCATTTAAACTGATCCTCCATATGTTAAAAGGAAAAGCTTGGGGGGGGGGGGTGAAATTTAATCAGTTTTCAAGCCTTTAAAACTTAGTGCACAATCCCTAAAACAAAACATCTAAGTAAAAGCACCTTCCTCCCTCCCCCAAGTAGTGAAAGAAACTGCTAAACAAAACACAGGTTTTCTAGAATGCTGAAGCTAGGACCATGGTCTATTGAAGTTGTAGGAGTCATCGCAATTACACCACACTGAAATGTCCATCCTCCCTCCCTTTGTTTCTTTTCACAATGCTCTTGAATATATAACAACTAGGGCTATGTCTACATTGGAAGAGCTGTTGCCACTTTATAGCAAGCAGCACCGCTTTGGTGGCTGGACTCCATGATGCAAACACCACCCCTGAATAGTGGGAATTGCCAGTAGAAGCCACCTTCACAGCTACAGGAGGTATCACCACACTGGGGATGTGAGTTTGGGTGAAGGCAAGTCAGTCTGAGAGTGACACTGGCTGCAGAACGAGATCTTTCCATACCCCTCACTAACATACTACTGCATCTCTATTACAAAGTTTAAGTAGCGTTGGCACACAAAAGGCATCAAGTGCTTCAAAAGAAGGAAAGTTACAGCACAAAAACTTTTAAGCACTCTTCAACTATCCCCTACCCTCTGCATCCAACTCCCTTCTAACTTAACTCTCTGATGCCTTATCTTGGGCTTTATGAACAACTTGTTTCCTTAATAGCTCCTAACACAAGGGCAAGGTCAAACAACAAAACAAAACAAAAACAGCAGCAATGAAAGTAAAATATCTACCTTCAGGTAGCCAAAACTCAAATCCTGGAAGAGTCAGTCAGCTGATCTTCATTTTATATACGCTAGCCAATTAGTATTTTGCCCAATGCCTAGGGATTGATTTCCACTTAATTTAAAATCATATTTAAATTTGTTTTCTACCAGATTGTGTAGCTCTCAATTTTAAAGCAACTCTCTTGTTCCCAATCAAGAAAAATTTAAGTCTGGTTTCTGTTTGGGTTATAAGGCTTGAAACTATGCAAGATATCCTCACGTGCAATAGGACAGGGATTTAGTCTATTTTCCACACAGAAGTGCTCAAGTGATATCCAGTACTGATAAAGATATTTCTGCACTTTTGGCAATTTCAGTACAAAAATTAGATAATATATTCTCACTTTTAATCATTACTACAGTTTCTATTAGATATGCATCCTAATTTAAAAGGTTGATTGATGCACTACAAAACTGGATGTGAAAGCTTTAAAAAAAATCCTTCCAATATTTAACCTCCTGCTTTCATGAAGTGCAAAAAAATTCCCATCAAAACAAGCACGGAATGTTTGTTTTTCTAATCCACTAAATTTCTTTCCAAGATAGACCCATCCCCCACACCACAATAACTTAAATTTCACCATTTCCTACACACACACGATGCAGCTCTGGTTTGACTGTGGAACTCGTGAGTCTTAGCCAAAAAACCATTCACTCAAGATGTGTTCTTCCAAAACTGCACTGAAACATGAAACTCTTATTAGCAAGCTGAAAATGTTTACCGCTAATATTAGACCACATTATCTAGAATGATCTTGCTAACTACAGATGTAAGACATTCAGGAGAGGAAAGCCCCAGAAAACTCATTTTTGTTTTTAGTAACAGCCATTTCACTACTTTGGAATACATGATGGAGGGACATGGGGCAACTTTGAGACAAATTAAAACCTAGCACCATGCCTGAATGTCACTTGGATCCCCTTCTGGTCTGCTGCTCTGCTTTCTGTTCCTTGCCCTCTTGAGAATCTGCTGTGTACCCCATACAGAGAAGCTACTTGTGGCACACATGCTACAGGTTGGCCAGCCCTGAACTGGGATGTAGTGAGCATTAAGGAGGAGGAACCCTATCCTTCCTTTAATAGCACTATAGTATTAGAGGCCACTAAAAATGATTTTGTAGAGGAAGTTAAGGCAGCAATGACCTGAGCATGATAAACCTGTATTGTCAGCAAATATCATTATAGAGTATGTTGCACAGATTTTGATCTTCCAGGGGACTGGCTTATCCTTAGACTTCTATGATGCAGAATTTGGCTGCAAATCAAATTACGTAGGATCCAACTTGTATGGTGAAAGGAAAACAAAAGTGATGATGTCCTGAACTGGTAGTTTCACTAAAAATAAATTATAAGTGTTTTTCACATCAGCGCACAAAGCTTTCAATGGTGTGAAGACTTCTGAGGCAAGCTAGAGAAGAATGAATTAATCTAATGTATTAAATAAAGTTTATTTTTCTTACAAATTAGTCTACAAAAAGGCACATGGTGTTATTTTTTTTGCCTTTTAAAATAAGAAATATTTTTCTTTAAGATAACTGAAGCTAGGATTCATAATTTTATGGATAGAATAAAAGGAATTCAGCACTATAGGTAGACCCCAGGGATGAGAGAAGTCTGACTGATGGTTAAGCATCAGACACCAAAATATAATCATATATACTATATACTGGTGCATAAATGAAGAAACCTAGGTCAGGCTCCACTACTGCAAGAGTTACTAGGATGTAAAATGCTTCCTATTTCTCTCATTCGATCTACTCTTTTAGGATTTTCAGCCTTTGTTTTCCTTTTTTTTAAAATTGCAATTCTTCTGCATTTAAAAGGACCGGTTCCCTTGTTTCTGATTTGTTCTTTTCCTCAGACTTGGCCCAAAGAAAGGTTAAGGCTTTGGTTCCTGAATCTTCATCAGCTAGTACATAATTGAAGGAAATCCTAGGAGAATTCTTAAAGGAGCCCAGATCTTCCTTTCTAGGGAAGTCAAAGTATAGAAATATTCCAGAGTCTGATGAGAAATGTATTAGTCTGCTTACAAATGTGAAAGTGCCTTGGTTTTTTGCCTTTGGAGGTGAACTGGACCAACAAGCAGATGTCAAAAGGTAAAATATACTGAACACAACCCTTTCAACCCCCCCACCCACACAAATGCAGGTGTTGGGAGCGAAGAGTTGATGAGGAGAGTAGTAATACGGGGGGGGGGGGAAATGGGCGGCGCGCTATGGTTGGGGACAGGAAGTGCTGAGGCAGGGAGGATAGGTAGCAAGGCAGGCAGCCTGTTACCCACAATTAGAGAATAGGGCATTTCAAGAGTTCATGTATTTTCCTGGAAATATTTTTTCAAATACACATACTTCTATACCTATTCCTCCTACGACAATTTTGGACTAAGGAATTCAAGAAGCCGCAACTCCTCCCCACCCTCAAATATGGTATACTGCACAAGTCTGTTCACTAATAGAATTGAAGGAGGTGCTGTAAGCTTATTTTAATTAAACATTTTAATTCCCAACATGTGCCAGGAAATCTAATGATAAAAGAACCTATTGCCACTTAACTGACATCAGACCAAGTTCTTATTTTTATTGGTAGAGCTCTTCCAAATCCAATGTGAACCTCTCTTCACCCTATTTTAGCAAACAAAAATGTATTAACATACCCATTTTTTTGTAGTATTCTTCCCATGCCTTTGTATAATCAACTTGCCCTGCTGGTGCTGGATTTGGCTGATCTCCTGATTTAAAGAAAGTCAAAATAAAATGTTAATACATTTTATGTTTTTTCCCCATTTGCACCAATTTACTTGCTTCTTAACATATCCAAAATATAGCCAGTTAATTTTAACAAAACAGCTTAAAAAGCAGTTTAGAAAAATATTTACAGATTTCATGAATCAGTTACAGACCTAAGTAAAACTAAGAGAAAGAACTTTAAAAAAAAACTCTAAGACCTTTCAAGAACAAGAGGAATCTGCTTAGTCCAAACCCATTTACAGCAGCACACCTGGCAAACAGTTATTTGTCTGATATATGCAGAAGATGTTTGAACAACACAGCCCCCCTCGCAACCACTGTGCAGCAGTATCAGCTATGTGTCTGCAGCAGAAGATACAGCTGAAAAAAGAAAAAGCATTTGCACTTGATGACTTCTAGTTGGCTTCTAACAGCAGATGAGAAACTGTCTATTGGCTGGTTTGACAGACTCAATCTACAGGCCTTACAAATAACTAGGTAATTGCTCTATAAGGGGCTATAAAGTGTAAACAGCTGAGCACACGCTGTACCTGGACAAAATAGCTCTTACAATTAAGGTGGATTAAGCAGTGCCTTTAACAGTCACAGTCTCGCACTATTTACGTGGCTGCCTGTTACTCTTGGCTGTCTTAAGTCACTTAATTTAGGCCCCATACAGATATTCAGTTTCTCCTGGAAGAGTCACTGCTTTACCAGGAGAAACCACAGGTATATGGAAGTTTTGATTTCTTCTCATAAAGCAAAAAAAGCCACTCCAAGAGAAGAATAACCTGGGAACAGAGTTAAATCACTCCAGGGAGCTTTGAGAATGTCCATACACCTTCCCTTCTGAGGCTGGCAACATTCAATTAAAGGTACGAAGGGATCTGATCTGCAACCCCAACAATTGTGTCTTCTGCCATACCACATGTGCATGGCAATGAGGCATAACTGTGGGATCATGGATCAGATCCTAACTGCACCATATTGCTAGTGCAGGGAGAGCCCTGTGGACCCAGTGCACTCCCACAGCTGGGATCTTTGGTCAGCTGACTGGGGTTCCCAGTCAGAAAAGTGCATCAGAGCCAAGGGCAACAGGCATTCCCACAGGTGGGAGTTGCAATTAGCTGAATTTCCCAGCCATGGGGACCCTCCAAGGGTCCATTGTGCTGCCCAGGCTGGGAGCGCTAGTCAGCTGATCAGCACTGGTCATATGTCCAATTTATGGCATTATGGGAACCAGCCACAAAGTTATTACACATTTTCTTTTATGTAATAACTTTGTGGCTATTCAATTTTATTCTGCCATTAAACTGAATGAATTTGTGGCCAGGTTACTACTTAAGAGGCAATTAATGATTTAATTGCATCTACAGTGTAGTGTCTCCCAGGAGCCGGAGAGAAGCCACAGAACAATCCCCAAAACTGTTATTTGTGCTGGACTTTTCTACTCCAGCCAAATGGAGCAAAAACACACCCTCTTCACAACCCCCATACTATGCTGCAGGGAGCTAGTCTGCATCAGCCAATCATGGCTTCACTATGCACTGCTGACATCTGTAACCAAGCAACATAAAGGAGCTTGCAGATCATGTGGAGATGTGTGCACAAGAGGCTGCACAGCATCAGCACTGCAAGCTCTACACTTTTCAGGGACTCAACATTTGAATGTCTGTTAGGTATCTCCAGTTAAATTTTTCTACCAGAACAGCAACACTGGGAGAATTCCCCCAGATCATCTGAACACGTGTATGGAGCCTTAATTTGCATCCACGATTTATTTAAATCTAATATAATGTGTGTTTACATGCCCTTGAAATTTTTATATCAAACTCTTAAAAAAAACAAAGACCCAAGAACTCCTGAACTGAACTTTAACTTTTTTTTTTTTTTTTAAAAGGTTTAAAGTTTGGCACCAAAATTAAGAATGTGCCAACCCCAACAGGGTAAATGCCATTTTCCCTTGTATGGGAAAACCCAACATGCACCATGAAGATAGAAGTCTTCATAGATCATTACCTTCTCAGTAATGACAAGCAGTTTCTCCTTTTAATAAATGGATCCAATTACCTTGTCCATTAGTTTGAGTTGGAGCTGGTCCAGCAGGAGGAGCTGCAGGTGGTGGCTGTGCTTGCTGCTGATAGTAGTGAGCATAATAAGCAGCCCATGCTGCAGAATTGGGGTCTGTTCCTGGCTTACCTAAAAAAAATAAAGGTCCACTCTCTTACAATGTAAATAGTATATTTTGAAAGAATATTACATAGCTATAAATATCACATAGCTTTGCTTACAGTTTTAGTTGCTTATATGTAAACCATGTATTGTTACACCTTCTATATGTATCTTACTATCTTTTTTACCTTTCCACACCTTTGCTTCTCATCATTTTGTTTCACTTGCCTTAAATGTTCAGGGACAATTCATGATTTCTGCTGCACCAGATGGAGACTAATCACTCCATAATCAACCACAGTTGTGTGATGGGTGAACTCCAGAGTATTTCTCAATTCTAAAATGCTGTGATACTCTCTCAGTTTAACTGTTACAAAACTGCAGTTGATCCTTTGATCCAAGCTAGCAAACTAAAAACTCTATCCATTTCAATTATACCCTTTAAGTGTAAGTTGAGCCATGACCTGACTAAACTTTATTTTAGTAAGTACTAAGCCACAAAAATGCATCCCTAATTCTCCATGGTACACTTGGATTTCAATGGCCAGTTCCATTTTTAAATTATGAGAAACACCCAATACTAGAAAAGAAGCCATCTTGAATTTTGAGTCTTTCAAACTGTTTTCCAAACTAACAAAAAGGTACCACTGTCACAAAAAAAGTTTAGAAGCCCCATACATACAAACCTTACAATATTTAAAAGTCTGGTCAAGCAAATCTCTCTCAATGAAAAACATTTCGATATTTCTAAACCATTTATTTTAAGAATGCCTCCTGATGCAAGCAAACAGCTGACAGAACACGTGAAGTCCTATTCCATTTAGATGTCTCAGAGATAGTCTAATAAGTCATGTAAATTAAGACGACACCATGATGAGGGTTAGTTGTTCTTTTGTACTGTAATTTAGGTCATAAATTTTACTGGAAGAAAACAAGCAAGCTACAGGGATGAATGTAAGCTGACTGCAATGCTGTGTGGAGTACAACAAGAGAAAAGGAATTAACTGAACTCTAGGTCTATCAAAGCATATGCTACCAAAAGATGACTGAACTGCTGTTCCTTTATGGAAGGAAGATCTACCTTAAAAAAACAAAACAAAACAAAAAATCCCATAACAAACACCCTTAGAAACCTATTCTAGAGAACTAGATTTTGAAGACTACTGAAGACTCCTAGTGAGAAAAAAAAAAAAGATATAAAAAAAGTGATTGAACAAAAAACAATTCTTGACCACTTCACAGTAAGAACAAAAGTTGTCTACTGTCAGAATTATTGGCTGCTTCCACCTGTTAAAAGAGCCAACCAAAAATACCCCCTTGTTTTACCAGAAGCCACAGCATGTTACTTTGACCTGGCTCTGCAATGTCTGTATAGATGAGACACTTCAGCA